TTTAAATCAATAGAATACCCTAGTAGTTATAATAATGATATATTTAGTATCTACAAACACAGAATTTCTTTGTGGCTACTCAAATGAAGTCCTTTCCAGAGGAATTCTGAACCAGACCTCCCAGAGGAACCCCGAAAGATATTTCTGCCACAATGCAAGTTGGCAGCTCAATACTAGAAACTATGACAGACGCCAGAGGAATTGATAAAGAAGTAATAGCCTTAACCTATTAAAACCAGAAAGTCAAGGTTAGAAAATGTTATTTGAAATCCATACTTTTTAAAAAGTTTCAGGCACTCATATCTTTAAAAAAAAAAAAAGATTTAATTTATTTATTCATGAGACACAGAGAGAGAAGCAGAGACCCAGGCCGAGGGAGAAGCAGGCTTCCTGCAGGGAGCCCGATGCGGGACTCGATCCCAGGACCCCGGGGTCATGCCCTGGGCGGAAGGCAGATGCTCTACCGCTGAGCCACCCCCGGCGTCCCTGGGCACTTGTATCTGTTTATTTCCTTTGTCTCCCACATTCTGTTCTTCCTCTTGATATATCTATACTTTGATTCAGGTTCCATGAGCTTAATGAGCCCAGGTATAAACATTTACAGCACATGAAAAAAAGAAACAATTTTAAAGTATTAAGTCATTTTTTTTTAAATGCCAACGTAAGACTGCTAGTTTCCAGTCAGGAATAGAAGGAGCTTAGAAGTAAATATGCTACCCTAACAATAGGTAAAAAGACGAACAAAGTGAAAAATGAACAACTCTTGCTAGATGTGTCAGAGAAGTGAAGTCATAGGACAAACCACTGCCCTCAAAATTGGAGCCAGAGGTGGATACAGAGGATCACAACTTCTCAGAGCAGAAACCCATAAGAGAAACCTCCGTGGGAACCAACGAGAGGAAACAAAAACCTGAATTATACCTGGCAAATGACTGGAAGCTCACTGTGGACAAGTCAGAGAATAAAAACTCCAGGGGAAATCCCACTTTTTTTTTGAGTTTTACTTCCAGGAGCCCTGTCAGGTCCTCACAGATTAGAGAAAAATCCACTTGTGTTTCTGACAAAGAGAGGGGAAAAGTAAACATGATGAAATACACCAAAGCTCTGTTTAACCAGGCCTGCTCTCAGGAGAAATTATCTTATCGGAGTTTAACTTGCTGGGGTTTTATCAGAGCCAACTAATCTTGCAAAGGGAAATACTCAGCTCCACCCTAGCCATGGGGAGGGATAAGTGGTTGGCAATTGAGAAACATCTGTGAAGTTCGCAGTCCAGAGGTATGGGCTTACTGCAAGACTGAGACCCAACCGCAGGACTACTGAACGAGCCCCTCAACCCCCACCCACCACACTACCACCGTATTACTAAAGACCCATTTACAGCAATTCCTCTCACCTAGTACATTGCATCCACTTTTGAAAAAATTGCAAGGCATATTAAAAGACAAAAAAAAAAAAAAGCAGTTTGAAGAGATTGAACAAGCATCAGAACCAGAGGCAGAGGGATCCCTGGGTGGCGCAGCGGTTTGGCGCCTGCCTTTGGCCCAGGGCGCGATCCTGGAGACCCGGGATCGAATCCCACGGCGGGCTACCGGTGCATGGAGCCTGCTTCTCTCTCTGCCTGTGACTCTGTCTCTCTCTGTGTGACTATCATGAATGATTAAATAAAATCTTTAAAAAAAAAAAAAGAACCAGAGGCAGATAGGCAGGAATGTAAGAATTATCAGACCAGAAATTTTTTTAAACTATGATTAATATGAAAAGAGCTTTAATGGAAAAAGCAGACAACATGCAAGATCACATGGATAAGTAGAGAGATGAAACTTCTAAAAGAATGAAAAAGAAATGTTAGAGATCAAAAATACTGTAATAAAATGAAGAATGCCTTTAATGGGCTTATAAGTAGACTAGACATCATTTAGGAAAGAATCTCTGAGCTTGATGATATGACAATAGAACTGAAAAGCTTCTAAAACTGAAAAGCAAAGGGAAAAAATATGAAAAAAAATTAGAGAAGATCTAAGAACTTTGGGACAACTATAACAAAAATAAAAGAAGAAATATTTGAAATGATGACTGAGAATTTCTTCCAAATTAATATCAGACACCAAACCACAGATCCAGAAACCTCCAAAAAAACCAAACAGGATAAATGCCACCCCCTCTAAAAAAAAAAAAAAAAAAAAAAAAAAAAAACACGCCACACTTAGGTATACTATCTCTAAACTACAGGAAATCATGAGGAAAGAAAAAAAAAATCTTGATAGAAGCCAGATGATAAAAACATCTTACCTATAGAGGAACAAAGATAAAACTTATATCTACTCCTCAAAAATCATGCAAGCAAAAAAAAAAAAAAGAGTGGAATGAAATATTTAAAGTTTGAGAAAAAATAAATAATAAAATAAAGTTTGAGAGAAGGGCAACCTGGGTGGCTCAGTGGTTCAGCACTGCCTTCGGCCCAGGCCGTGATCCTGGAGACCCAGGATCGAGTCCCACGTTGGGCACCCTGCATGGAGCCTGCTTCTCCCTCTGCCTGTGTCTCTGCCTCTCTCTCTGTGTCTCTCATGAATAAATAAATAAAATCTTTTTTTAAAAAATAAATTTTGAGAGAAAAAAAACCCTAAAATTATGTTCCCTATAAAATTAACCTTCAAGGTGAAGGAGAAATAAGTTTTCAGACAAAAATTAAGGGGATTTGTTGCCAGTCGACCTGCTTTGCAAGAAAAGGTTAAAAGACATTCTTCAGAAAGAAGTAAAAGAATACAAAACAGAAATTCAGGTCAATATAAAGAAAGGAAGAGCATCCAGAAAGGATCAAGTGAAGGTAAAGTAAAAACCTTTCCTTATTTTTAGTTTAATAAGCAATAGTTCATTCAAACTACTACTTGAGCAATAATGTATTTGTGTAAGCTTTTAAAAATATATATGAGTATATATGTATGCTTACTTAAAAGTGAAATGAATGACAGCAATGGTATAAGAAATAGGAGGAAGGAATTGGGAATATTTTGTTATTATAAGGTACTTAAACTACCCACGAAGCAGCACAGTGTTATTTGAAAGTAGACCTCGATCAGCTACAAATAAATATTGCAAATTCTAGGGCAAAAACTAAAAAAAGTAAAAAAAAAAAAAAAAAAGGTATAACATATTCTAAGAAAGAGAAAATGGAATTATATAAAATGCTCAAATCCACAAAAGGCAAAAAAAATAGTTAGAAGACAAAAATAAGAACAAAGAACAAGAGTAACAAAAATGGTAGATCTTGATCCAGCTATATCAATCACTACTTTGAATGTCAATAGTTGAAATCCATCCATTAAAAAACAGAGATTGTCAGTGTATCAAGAAACAAAGCCCAAATATATGTTGTTTGCAAGAAGAGCATTTTAAATATAAAGATACAATATATTAAAAATAAAGCAGTGGAGAAAGTTGTATCATGCAAGCTCTAATCAAAAGAAAGTGAGGGGGTTCCTGGGTGGCTCAGTTAGTTAAGCATCTGCCTTTGGCTTGGGTCATGATCCCAGGGTCCTGGGATTAAGCCTCATATTTGGCTCCCCACTCAGTGAGGAGTCTGCTTCTTCTCCCTCTGCCTCTGCAGCTCCCCCTGCTTGTGCTCTCTCTCTGTCTCTGTCAAATAAATAAATAAAATATTTAAAAAAAAAAAAAGAAAGTCTGTAATAGTTTCAGACAGAAAAGACTTCAGAGCAAAGACAGTTACCAGAATTAAAGAGGATATGACATAATGATAAAGGGGTCAATGCCTCAAGAAAACATAATAATCCTTAACAATAAAGCCTAACAACATATCATCAAAATATGAGGCAAAAGCTTATAGAATTACAAGGAGAAATAGATAAGCCCATAATTACAGTTGAACATTTTATCAAAATGGATAGATCCAGCAAGTAGAAAACCAGTAAGGACATAGTTGAACTCAACATCATCATCAATCAACTGATATAATTGACATTTATGGACTACGTCATCCAAAACCTGCAGAATATACATTTTTCTCAGGCTCACATGGAAGATTCACCAAGACAGACCACACATTCTGAGCCACAAAACACATCTTACCAAATTTAAAAGGATTAAAATCATACAATTTCTGTGCTCAGACCACAAAGAAATTAAGCTAGGCAGATGCTCAAACACTGAGCCACCCAGGCATCCCAACAACATTTTCTTAGTAAAGGTCTAAGAAATATCAAGCTCAATGGAGATTTAATGTAATTATAAACATTTATAATAAAATGTAATATAAGCTCTTAACCCTAGGAGATTTAACAAAGTTCCTACTTTTACAAAGATATAACATTCATTAAATTTATTTTTTTCATTAAATTTATTAACTCACGATTCCCTAACATCAACTGTTGATATTTTAAATGGAGAAATACTCACTTATAAGAAAAAGCCATAAAATAACCAGCAAAAACCCTTCCACAGAAGTATATAAATTGACTGAAGTGTCTTTAGGCAGACTAAATTCCTGATTAGATTCAACTGTATTAGGAACCCATTCTTTAATTTTATTCCAATTTCAGTGATTTAGAATCATGTACCAAATTTAATGCTTTGGCATCCTTTTCAAAACATGAAAATCTTATTCTATAAATCTAAATATTTGAGGCCATTTAAAAACAAATGTTAAGTATCAAAAACTACCAAACTTCATCTGATTCTTGGTAGACAAATCTTCCTAATGATAAAGTTAGGATATACATCTGGGGAAAAATAAAACTTGACCCATCTCAATGTATAATTACCGAATTAACTGGTTTCTAATTATTCAAATAGTAAATATATGCCTCAAAGAAATGCTCAACCTGTAATAATTATATTGAACAATAATAATAAAATGAAGCCAAATGTCTTAAAATACAACCTATAACTAATATAGAGAAATTCCAGAAAAATGCTCAAAGTCTAGTTATTTCCTGTATTTTTCTTTCAAACTAAATAAATGATAGAAGAGAATAACAGACTCCAACCTTTCTCTTTTGGATTCATTTTCAATTTTGTACTGTTCAAAATCTTGGCTAAGAGACCGTAGTTTTTCTTGAAGTCTCTTTTCACGGTCTACACTTCCTTGATAAAATTTCATCTCTTTTTCCATCGCTTTCACTTTTTCTTCCATAGCTTTAAACTCATGAAGAATTAGATAGCTGACTCCACAGTATTTACAAACTTTTTCTTCAGGAGACATCTAGAAAACAGATGGACATACATAAATTGAAACGATATTTTTTAAATTCTGAAAAGTAAAGTTCCACTGAAGATGCTATTGCAACCATGCTGGTCAAATAAAGTAAATGGATACTGGCCTATGCCATGGAGTAGTGATTATGATTTGCCTGTATCTGGATAAAACTTCTAAAACTGGCATGACATTGATTCTGACACAAAATCTTGGAATTAGAGGGACACCTGGGTGGCTCAGTGGTTGAGCGTCTGCTTCCGGCCCAGGGCATGACCCCAGGGTCCTGGGATCGAGTCCCACGTCGGGCTCCCTGCACGGAGCCTGCTTCTCCCTCTGCCTGGGTCTCTGCCTCTCTCTGTGTCTCTCACGAATAAATAAATAAAATCTTAAAAGAAAAAAAATCTTGGAATTAGAAAAGGGTTTTCCAGAGTGATTATTTCTCCATAGTATCTCTAAGAGAGATTTACTCTTGAAATATTTTCCATAAAATAAAACTAAAAATGATGGAAACATCTTTAAAATTTTTAAGATGAGTTTTCCATGAAGTGAAGACAAATCACTGGCTTTTCACTGCCAGCTGCTCTGTAATCCTGGAGATGCCTCTTGGCTTTTTCAGATCTTATTTTTCTGCATTTATAAAATTCTGGCATTGGACCAAATGAACTCTTAAGTTCCTGCTGAGTTTTAAATTTTATGACTTTTACAGAATTTGACAGAATTTATGCCAGAATTCTGTCATAAAAGCACAAATAGCAAAAACATTTTGAACCTAACCTCTTCTCTCTCAGTTCTTTTCCCTTCAGGTAGGTATGGTTATACCCATTTTATAGGTAGGGAAATGGAGACCAGTGAAGTTGAATAACCAGTTGGTATATGGAGACATTGGGGCTAACCCCAAGTGTAGCTAAATGCAGCACCTATGCCTGTAGCCATTTGTGTCATACTTATCTGCCATGTGAAGGTCAGCTAAATCCTCTCACTTCCTTCAGTTAAAATGTTCACGTATCTCTGACCAACATAAGGCCACTGAAAAATGGAATTCTAGCAAAGTCATGAGAGAAGTAATTCTTTTTTCTGTCTCAAGTATATAAATATTCTTCAAGTAGACTCTACTTGTCCTGCTATTCGCAAAGGATAGGAGACGGCTCCATTGAACGTTTGCTCCGGGCACTAAAAGGAAAGCAATACTTGAACTATTTCGGGGGTGTCTGCTCTTCATGCAACCTCCCTTAAGACTGTAGAAACTGGGATCCCTGGGTGGCGCAGCGGTTTGGCGCCTGCCTTTGGCCCAGGGCGTGATCCTGGAGACCCAGGATCGAATCCCACGTCAGGCTCCCGGTGCGTGGAGCCTGCTTCTCCCTCTGCCTGTGTCTCTGCCTCTCTCTCTCTCTCTCTGTATGACTATCATAAATAAATTAAAAAAAAATTTAAAAAAAAAAAAAGACTGTAGAAACTGCTCCCGTGACTAAGAGTGACACCACCTCATCTGCCTGTCAATTCCATTACACAAGAGTCAGGTGAAACAAAATAACAAACTTTTACATAGTAACATTTTACTCATCTGAGTTCAATAATAAAACTTTCAAATCATAAAACATTCTACTGTGGGATACAGATGAATGACCATATCGATCATCTAAATGCCAGTGATACCAAATTTACAGATTTGTAAAACAGCAAATATGAATGAAATCATAAAGATAACTTGGTTCAAACTCTGGGTGGGTTCATAGAATCTATTTCAATCTAGATAAGTCATTATCCCGACTCTATTTCAACATCCCAAGTGAAGGGAACCTACTTTGTAAAGCAGCCTATCTATCTTCTGATGGTTTCGTCTATCAGGAAATTCCTTTTCATACTGACCCCAAATCTGCCTCCCTAGAACATCCACTGGTCCTAGAGCTCCTAGTAACCATGTGGAACAACCCTCGACCTCTTTCTAATATTTAAAAACAGCTGTCAGGAACAATCCATAGCTTCTCTTCTCCAAGTCAACCTTCCAGTTCCCTCAGCTCCTTCCCATATGACATGGTTTTGAATTTCTTCCTGATTCTAAATAATTTCCTCTGAACTTGTTCCAGTGTTCTATGCATGCCTCAAAGTATGGTGCCCAGAATTTAATACTCCAAATTTGTTTAGGGCCAAACCTCCCTCATTCTATTATCTCACAAGTTATATCAGTGATAGTTTCTTTTCTTTTTTTTTTTTGCATTTTGTTATATATTTATTAAAGACCAATTTATAGCTTATAAAAAAATATTGCCCTGATATACACAAAAATTTCCTGATAATGGTAATTAAAAACAGGTACTTCCAACCCCCCTTGTGTCCACACCGATGATCAATCTAGATTGGCTTAATCTTGAAGTGTAATCCAATAAGACTGAAGACCAAGCACTTCAGGTCCTGGACAAGATAATAAAATACTCGTAAGCCTTCTGGATCCTCGGATTGATTGACATCAATAAGAGAACCAATTTTTGATGTTGTAAAAGAAATGTGTTCATCTCCAATGACAATTTCAAGCTCCTGCCGGCCCACTCGATCCGGGGGAGGCCACAAGGCATCATCCTCTTTGGTAATTTCACTGTCATCGATTATTCTCTTCAGTTCCTCCATTACACTCTTATGTACCTAAGCCTCTTTTCTGATCATGATGTCATTTTTTAATTCCTGTTGTTGGCATATCTCAATTTCCCATCGGGACGGAACTCAAACTCCAGGAGCTCATGGCCGAACTTGCCCTTGTGACCCACATAGTAACGCAGATAAAAGTCACTTTCCATGGTTCATAAGGAGGCAACAGAGACGAAACTACCAGCAAACCTCGCTGCCACGCTCTGCCAGTGGTAGTATCTTCTAATGCAACCTTAGATCGCAATTGTCTTTGTATTTTTAGCAATTATATGTTGATATTATATACCATATCAGGTTTTTGTGTTAAATAAAGCCCCTATTTTAAAAAAAAATACTGCAGTACAAAACCATCTTTCATTATATTAAATATACCAATCTATTCCTTCCCACAACTTTTTTTTTAAAGATTTTATTTATTTATTCATGAGAGACACACACACAGAGAGAGAGAGAGAGGCAGAGACACAGGCAGAGGGAGAAGCAGGCTCCATGCAGGGACCCCGACGTGGGACTCGATGCTGGGTCTCCAGGATCACACCCTGGGCCGAAGGCGACGCTAAACCGCTAAGCCACCCGGGCTGTCCAACTTAGCACAACTTTCTTAGAGAATCTACCCTCCACCTTCCACAGTCCTGGCTGCTCTGTTTGGTAATATGACTAAAACTCCCTCCATCCAACCACCCTAGCCATGGCTGACTGGGAGGATTAGACATTAGACCCAGAAGAAACAAGCCATAAGCTAGGATGAGCCTACCAGACTTATGAGTGTTGAAGACCCAGGTATTTGGGACACCTTTAGGGCAGTCTCAAAGGAGAAGGATCATATGCAAGGTACAGAGTTAGCCACATTGAAAGAGGATGAGGGAGACAGATGAGTGCACACACAGAGACAGGATGAGACAAAGATAATCTGGATCCAGAGTATGAGAGCGAAAAAATAACCAATGACCTCCGAATACCTCACTTCAGTTCTTCTTGACACCTAGCTGCCCTACTTGCCCTTTGGGATCCATGCCCAATCTTCCCGCACTATTATCTTTCCCCTTTTATACTACTATTTCTTGCAACCAATAACCTTCATTCTATTGTGTGAGTATTTGGCTTTTCACATCAGAGTTCAGAAAAATAAATATAATTATAAATGTAAGTAAATAAATAAGATATATATACATGCATATCTTAGACACACATACATCCTAAAGATAGGTATGTCTTAGACTCAGCCTTTATTTTTTGACTTTGGTATCCAAGAAATTTTACGTTTTGTGTTTTTTCAAAATTGATCCTTGTAAATTGTTTTATTCATCCAATTCATTGATAAAAATGTTGAATATGACAAAATTGGGGAAAGAACTCCACAGCATGTCATAAATACTTGGTTGATACCAATCTATTATTCAGCACACTTGAAGAGCTGAAGGTACAACTTTTCTTTTTTAAACTACCCAACTATCTTTACAACCAGCCTATACTTACTCATATTGTCTTCAGGAATATTATGGCAAACTTTGTCAAATGTCTTCATAAAGTCCATATATTCTACAGCTACTACGGTTCAGGATCTAGTAATAGTACACAAAATGGAATGGCATGACCTACATGCCAGCTCTCTTAATGAACATAAAACTGGCTCAGAGGTTATTGTTTTCCCTGGTATATCCTCACAAATTAAAAAAAAAATTTTTAAGATCTTATTTATTTGAAAGAGAAAGGGGGGGGGCAGAGGGAAAAGGAGAAGCAGACTCCCTGCTAAGCAGAGATCCCAACATGGGGCTTAATCCCAGGACCCCAACACCATGACCTGAGCTGAACACATACGCTTAACTAACTGAGCCACTCAGATGCCCCCACAAATCACCTTTTAATAAATATATTCTAGTATTTTGTCTGGGTTTGAAATTAAGTTCACTGGTTGTCATTTATGGTCATTTTACACATGGGACGCATTTGTACATTATCCTCCCACTCTCCACGTGTTCTCAAAGATCACCAAGAGTAGCTCCACAATCCCATTCAAAGATACTATCAGTTCCTGGGAATATAATTTATCCAGGGCAAGAGACCTGAACTAATTCAGAGCAGATGGGTATTTTCTTATAATTCCTTTGCTCGTTGTGAGTTTGGGTTCCTACTCATCAATTTGAAAATTATATCGCTTATTTGAAGGCACTTTCATTCTTAACCTTATGCCTATTAATCACGGTTCTTGGCCAGATTTTGGCGAAACACCTTATCTTCATCCGAAAGAAAACTCTTGCTAGGTGGAGCTTATTTGCAGCCCAATGTACAAAACAGGACAAGTATACATGTCACAGTTACAAAAGCTATTAGAAGTTATTCTACAACAGCCACCAAGGAAGGGGTGG